GGGCCGTTCCAGCGGAACAAATAGCAAAAAAAGAACAAAAAAATTACGGGGACAACAAACTAACCTCAAACGACCAACGTGCTGACACTTAGAGACTTGGATACGTTGAATGTAGCAGTAAACGCAGTGGGAGACTCAGAAATTCAGAGAAAATGAGAGGGGTTGCTTGTAAACTGTGAGCGCGGGAATGGAAAATGAAAAGGTGGGGAATATAGTGCCATTTTTTACGTTGGATTGTGTTGCTCAGACGTAAATTTACATCGGACTGGAGGGGGCCCGACGTAAATTTACGTCGGACTACTGGGGGCCCGACGTAAATTTACGTCAGACTAGTGGGGGCCCGACGTAAATTTACGTCGGACTATGAGACTCCGACGTTAATTCCCACATTTACGTCGGACTGGGGGGGTCCGACGTAAATTAGTCTCCACTTATTTACGAAACTGCCACCGCGTTTTTACAACGCCGGTGTTTAGTGTTTGCGACGTAAATTGGGTGACGTAAATACCCTTTTTTGCACTAGTGTATAAGCCTGGAGAGGCTTGTCAAAGGATCCTCACTAAGAGCCTGAAGAGGCTGAACAAAGAATACTAGCGCCAATGAGTGAAATTAGCGGGCTAGGAGTGGTCGATAATCCTCACTAAGAGCCTGAAGAGGCTGAACAAAGAATACTAGTGCTAATGACTGAAGTTAGCGGGCCAGGAGTGGTCGATAATCCTCACTGAGAGCCTGAAGAGGTTGAACAAAGAATACCAGTGCCAATGAGTGAAGTTGGCAAACCAGGAGAGGTTGATAATACTCGGGAACCAGGAGATCTTATGCAACTACACAGTTGATGAAGCAACAGAACAGGATAAAAGGGAAATTATGAGTCAGTCCATTAGCATTCAAAGCTAGACATTACCCAGAAAGAGTTATTAGCTTTGCCAAGATGGACTATGAATAAAGGGAGAAATTTAATGAAAGCTTCTATTGGGCTGCTTCACAAAATCATTACATGGTGACATACCTTAGCAGCCAGGCTCTTTTAGGTGAGGTGACACTGCTATAAGAGCAACGTCAACTACCATACACTATATATTTTTATGATGCATGATGATATTACAAGCAAGTTCACAAGTTCCAGTTTGAATATTTTTTAAGTTTACCCTATAAATTATCCTCTTTTGGTTTTTAGGCTGTACAGGTTTCAAAATCAGTGGTCAATTAAGTGTTGACTGTTTTAGGCTTTTTGTTTAGGCTGAAGAAATTAATATGCAGTCATAACTTTTATACATTCAATCATGAACCATGAGTTTTTTTACCAACACAAGAATGTAGTGATTAATACCAACAAAAACAAATTTTCCAATAGCACCAATGGAAAAAAAGTGTGTCAGAAAATCATGATAACCAACCAATCATTTAGCAGGTAAGAAAAAGTTACCTAGTGCCACACAATCTTGAGGTTCCAACAGTTTTCCAAGAGCTGCACAATCCTCAACTGCAAGTAGCCGAACAGAATCTTGATCTGCAAGAACAAGGGTGAAAGTTTCTTGGTAGTTCAAATTCTGGCCTGAAAGTTTTGCAGCAACAAAGTTCAGACTTTTTGCAAAAAATGATATGATTACATCAATTGACAATAAACATGGAAATCAAAAGGGCATCTTAATTAATAATAAGATTCAACTACAATTCATTTTGTAGATGGTGGTTCTGTACCTCAGCAATGATATATGACAAATATGCCATCAACATCATAAGTGCAACTTCACGATCAGTAGAATGCCTGTAAATGAAAGGCACTAAGTGAGGCGAATCGCACAACGTCCACAAGGCATACAAGTCATATTTGTAACTATTATATTATTCTATAAATCTCTATAGTTTCAATAACTTTTTAAATAGATCCATACACCAGTTCATGCGAGGTTCTTAAGTTTAAGAACTGGTTCTCATTCAGGCTTATTATTGAGGAAGCTGACATGACTTCCCTTCCCATCACAAGAACTGGTTGTAATACAAGTAACCAGTTCTTAGGATTCAAAAACATTGTGAAATAATATGTGAGACACTGAGACTTATTTCAAGTTCTTAGATCATTGTATCATTGAAGAAAAAAGTTGTTAAAGTTCTTAAATCTGATATAGCATGATAAAACCTATCAAAAGTGAGTTGAGAACCTTCACTTTAAATGCACTATTGGAGATGCTACATGGACTAACACATTGGTGTTTTTTTTATAAAAATTCTGTATATTATCCAAAACCTCAAAGAAACCGTAATGTTTAGCAACACTTAACAGTTTCAACACCGAAATCTAGTAAAGACTCAATTGGAAATTCAAGATTTTAGAATTAAAAGAACCATATTTGAGAGATTAGTAAACTAGAACAATCTATGCAATGTCTTAACCTTGTTTATCTAATTCAAGTTGCCAGAATTTTCTTGAACAATCACACCATTTTCGTAACTTTGTTGTTAGTTAATTATTAACATTTTAAAGTTATCCTAGTTTATCCAAGCTTCCAAATTTGATAGCATTGAAGAAGTATATTATTCTACCAACTTGATGGGACACCTATCAACACTTCAGGAAGATATCTATTTGATTGGTTTAGTAGTCGACTATATTGATAGTAACTTATACAAGCAAAGGAAATTCCTACCTTCCAAGGTAAAGTGTTTTAATAATATAAGCACTCAAAAGGCCAACCTGAAAAGATCATCATATATAGCATGTCAGAATAGAACTACATCTCCACTCCCAACAATTAGAAATTTTAAATTTGGTTTGCAAGCAAGTAATAGATTTAGTAATTGGATTATGTCTGTGTAATGCTTTCATGGAGCAAATTTTATGTTCAACTTTGTATAATAAAACAGCTGACTTCAAAAGAAGAAAATATAACCATAGGAAGCACTTTTGAATATGCAGCCTTACATCCAAAATAAAGGATTTCTCACTATGGTTCAGTTTTTCCTCTTTGAAGTTTAGTCTAAAAAGTATTTCAAAGAAGCACATGCAAAATTAAGCAAGTTAAACTTACTAGTATGCCAACGCCAGTACTAGTGCAGAAGAGGTAAAGGAAAGTCCCCAACAATTTCAAGGCTGTAATAGTATCGATGTTGCTGAAGTCAAGCCATTGTAGCAAACTGAAAAGAACAATAGACGTAGCATCATTTACTACTCCCTCCCCAAATACAATGTTGTAAAGGAATGGAGTTTCATCTTGATTCAGAACCTTCACCATAAAAAGGACAACGAAGGCAATAAATGATAATATATTAATTTTGAAATACATATTTGTATATGCACCAAGGTTAGAATATACCTGCAATGTACAAACTGAGTCCGTTGCTGACAATATGGCACCAATGGCTTCACATCTTCAGTGCACGAACAATCAGAATAGAGGGACAAGTGATGAGTAGATTAAGGGCATTGAAGTCACAGTAACCGCATTCTGTAACGAGGAAGAATCCTATTAGGGTTTACATCATTAAACCCAAAACTAATTGAAAATAGGGGGACAGAGCATATGAGACTCACCCAAACCTTAAACGATTTAGGGTTCCTTGCGCGCACAGTTTCAACAATGGCGCTGAAGCTTTTGCAGAAGACGATGATGCTTCCAAAGACACTTCTTCGGGGGGGAAACGACTAGCGCTGGTCACCAAACAAACGAAACAAGATAGGGCTTAAGCTTATACGACAATGGCGGGGCGTGCGCAGTTTTGGTGTTGAAGAAGATGCTTAGTGTTGTTCTCATGGAGAAGGGGCGCGAAAGGGTGAAAATGGGGCTCACTCAATACTACATCGGTTCCTGAGAGAACCGATGTAGATATATTTGTAATTAATCACAAAAATGCCACCGCGCATTCAAAACGACATCGGTCCCACCCTAAACGATGTAAAACGATCATCATCTACATCGGTCTCCTCCATAACCGATGTAGATATCCTTTACATTGTGCTCTTATTTACAATTATGCCATCGCCTTCGTTTTTTACATCGTTTCTACATGAACCGATGTAGAATTAACGATGTTAAAAAGCCACTTTGTAGTAGTGTTGCCAAAAATGGGTCGGTTAAGCTAGCTTGCCAAGTGAAAGTGAGTTGGATGCCCTATCTTGTCCCACCTAAGTGTGTGTTGGTGGGCTAGCGAGCCAGCTTGCCAAAAAAAATGTTTGCATATTTATTTTGAGCACCACTTGCAACATATTTCTTTCTTAATATCTAAAGAATTCATATAAATTAATGCACAAATAAAATTCAAATTACAATAGATCTGAGTTTGATTTGTTCCACCACAAGTCTAAAATTTTCTAAATAATAAAATAAATATATAATTATAATAATAATAGCTCTTTTAACAAATTTATTGCACAAAAATCTCAAATTACATATAATAAAATAAATCAAATGCACAACATAGTTGATGTACAACAAATCACAAATTACTTACATAATAAACTAATGTGATTTATTTAAATTTAATATTAAAAAAATTAAAAATAAGACTAGTCTGCAGGCCAACCTACCCTAACTCGTCATTTTGCCTGTTAGGTTGGTTGGTTAAATGGGGTGGACTAAGAGATTGGTAAGCTAGGATGCCTAACTCAGCCCACCAATTTTTGACGGGTCAACGGGCCACTCTATAAACCGAGGTCCATTTTTCCATCCCTATACGTGAGAATCCATTCTAAATGTCTTTCAAAAACCTTTTCAAACTCGTCTAATATCAATTATTTGTAAGTTCTATGATTTTCTAATACATCAATTATAGAAAATTAAAGGATCTTCGAAATTCATGATACTCACACAATAATAAGAAAGTGTGTACCTTTCTCCATAATGGAAATTTCTTTTGATCATTTGAGTGCTTTGATCTTCTTGAGAAAAGAACCAAGATTTCACTCCCTTTGACTTTTCTTTCTACTCTCTCTATCTTTCGTGATGACTAAGGTTTGAGAGAATACTTTCTATCAGGGGTGTGGACCTTGTCTCACATTAGTGGATATTTATAACCCTAAAGATTGTTATTCCCATCAAATAACAATTATTCTCATATATAACTGCTCCATTAAACTCATTTATGATTTAGTCTTTAATCATTTAATTATTTACTTATTAGTTCATTTATATATCACATATTCCCACATGCGACATAATTATCTTACATTCTCCCACTTGACTCATGTGACATTTCTCACAACGGACAAATAAATAAATAAATAAAATTAACATAATGCGCATTAAAATGGCTAAATCATTTTATACATTGGGTTCATCATTATTTAATATTTAAAAATATGAACTAATTTGAGTCATGGTGGTTGTACATCAGTTTAATCGACATAGTCCCTTCCATGTACTACAAACAAGTCTTCTTCTTAATATGATCATTAATAAGGAGCACATACGTGGTCCAACATTATATCTTTATTCAAGATAACACCTGTTTACATTACTCTAACACAAATATGCATAAAACCATAGAAAACAGGTACTCAGAAACATATCATTAATGAGCTCAAAATCTCAATCACTTAATATAAAATAAACATGATACTCAACAACCATTAATAACAATAATGCCCATATTTTTAACATGCTCAATAAATGTTTTGGGCGGTAATCCCTTTGTTAAAGGATCAGCTATCGTAAGATTTGTGCTAATATGTTCTATTGACACTCTCTGTCTCTGAACTTTCTCCTTCACGACAAGGTACTCTAATTCTATATGCTTAGCACCCTTAGAGTACTTGTCGTTCTTAGAAAAAAAATACTGCTACAGAATTATCATAGTACTTTTTCAGTGGCTTAGCAATACTGTCGACAATTCCAAGCCCTGAAATAAAGTTCCGCAACCAATTAGCCTGAATTGTAGCCTCAAAACATGCTACAAATTCAACTTTCGTAGTCGATGAAGCAACAACTGTATATTTTGCACTTTTCCATGATATTGCTCCTCCAACCAAAAGAAATACATAGCCAAGAGTGAATTTTCTTGAATCCACACATCCAGAAAAATTAGAGTCTGAATATCCAATCACCTCAAGGTGATTAGACCTCCTATATGTAAGCATGTGACACTTTGTTCCCTATAAGTATCTCAGAACTTTCTCTGCAGCTTACCAATGTTCCATTCCTGGATTACTTTGATATCTTCCTAACATTCCAGCTGCAAAACTTATATCTGGTCAAGTACAGATCTGAGTATACATGATACTCCCAACAACTGATGCATACGGAATTGCTTCCATTTGTTCTCGTTCCAGGTCATTCTTAAGACATTGAGTGAGACTAAACTTATCTCCTTTTTGAATTGGAATGGGCGATGCTGAGCACTTTTCCATCCTAAATCTCTCTAGTACTTTATTGATATATGCTTTCTGAGACAAGCCTAATAGTCCTTGCGATCTATCTCAAAATATTTCTATTCCTATCACATAACTTGCCTCGCCCATATCTTTCATTTCAAAGTTATTGTCTTAAAGACCCACTTACAACCAACTCTCTTGCAATCTTCTGGCAATTCTACAAGGTCCCAAACATCATTTTGTTCCGTGGATTTTAATTCTTCTTTCATGGAATTTAACCACTTTTCAAAATTATCACAACTTACAGCTTGTGAAAACGAAACTGGATCATTCTCATTAATACTTGAGTCAATTTCTAACTCATGTAGATATACCATATAGTCATTTGAAATAGCTGGTCTTTTTTCTCGTTGTGACCTTCGTAATGTTATTTCGTGTGGATGTTCTACAATAAGTTCATTATGAATCATGGGTTCATTATTGTGTTGCTCCTCTTCATTGTTATTTGACACAATAGTTAGAGGAACACTTACTTTATTTCTAGAGGCATAAGTTAAAGGAACTTGCATTCTAACTTCATTGACTTCCACTTTTTGTGGAATTGTACTCCCACTAACTTCACCATTTTCAATGAACCTTGCATTTCCAGTTTCAAAAAATCTCATACTATGTTTAGGACAATAAAACATATACCCCTTTGATTTTTCTGGATAACCAATGAAATATCCACAATTGTTCTTGCATCCAATTTCTTTTCTTGTGGATTATAAATCATTATTTATGCCTGACAACTCCAAACATGTAGGTGCCTTAAACTAGGTGTCCTACCAGTCCACAGTTCAAAAGGTGTCTTTGAAACTGCCTTACTGGGAACCCTGTTTAACAAATACATGGCAGTTTTCAAGGCATACATCCACAAATATATGGGTAAAGTTGAATTGCTTAACATACTCCTAACCATATCCATTAATGTTCTATTATGCCTTTTTGATACACCATTTTGTTGTGGTGTACCTGACATCGTATATTGAGCACAAATGCCACATTTCTGAAGAATTTTAGCAAATGGACCTGGGTGTTGCCCAATTTCATTATATCTTCCATAATACTCACCACCTCTATCAGATATTACAACTTTCACTTTTTTGTCTAATTGCCTTTCTACTTCATTCAAGTAAATTTCCAAGGCATTGACTGCTTGAGATTTCTCATGCAATAGATAGACATAACCATAACGTGAATAGTCATCTATAAAGGTAATGAAGTATTTTTCCTTTTCGAAAGAATTGACATCAAAAAGACCACATATATCGGTATGCACAATTTTAAGAAGCTTTGTACTTCTTGTAGCTCCTTTCTTTGTATGTTTTGTTTGTTTTCCTTTAATACAATCCACACAAATATTTAGATCCATAAAATCTAGATTTGGAAGAATTTCATTTTTTTATTAATTTTTCCATTCTTTCTCTACAAATGTGACCTAAACGTTTATGCCACAAGAAAGCAGAATGTTCATTTACTAAACTACGTTTAGTACTAATGTTATGATGCAGAGTTAAGAGGGTTTCATCATACAAACCATCTAAATTCAATTTATATAAATCATCACAAATAGTGACGAATTCATAAATTTTAAGTAGTGGGGGCAATAATCATACTTAAGTTTGTAGTATTAAATATATAATTTTATATTTTTTAAAATATAAATATACATTAAATTATTTTATATGAAATTTTATATTTTAAAAATATTGAATTATTTTTTCATTTTTAATGCTTTAAAAAATATCTCTTTCTATATTCTATATCAATATTTTGACATTTTTTCATTTTTAAAATAATACATTATGAATTTAAGTCAGTCATCACTCCTTAACTTAACTATAATTAGTATTCTCTTCATCTCATAATAAGTATCGTTCTAGGTTATTTTACACAAGTTAGCATAAGAAACCTTGTAATAAATCTTCTTTATTATAAAAAATTGCAATACAATATTCACTTTCTAAAAAATATTATGAAGGATATAAATAAAAAAAATTAAGTAATTAATATTATATTGAAAAGTTAACATGACACTTATTTCAAAACTTTTTTTTTCAAACATCACTCTTATTACGAGACAAAGTATTATATATACTGTGAAGAAATATTTCTAAAAGTTAATATATTAACTTTGAATTTTTTAACAAGATAAAAATATAGAAAAGAGTGAGAGCACTTGGTTTTTAACATGATAAGTGTGAGTACATTATTATAAATTCATAATAGACTTAAATATGTTTTTAATATCTTAAATTTAAGGAAAATTTGTTTTTAGTCCCTTAAATTAAAAATTTGTCTTTTTAGTCCTTGTAATTTTGAAAAAATCTTGTCATACTTAAATTTTGTTAAAAATTCTATTAAATATTGTCACTAAAAATCTATCTACTAATGTCTATATCAATAAAAAAAACATAACATTAAATCCAGTTGAAATTACATTACTATCTCA